AACTAAAGGGGATAGGGGACATCCCTGTCTTGTACCCTTGCCAATAACAAATTCTTCCGTCAAGTCCCCATTTATCAGTAATCTGGCCATTTGTTTAGAATAAATAGCTTTAATCGCATTTATAAACCTCTGCCCAAATCCCATATATTCTAGTTGCACTATTATAAAATCCCAATTAACTCTATCAAATGCCTTCATGGCGTCTATAAAAACTAATGCAACTTGTTTGCCTGGGCGTTCTTCATAGTACTCCAATATATTTAACATAAATCTTATATTATCCTGTAATTGTCGTGATAGTAAGAATCCATTTTGGTCCATATGTATGAATTCATTCAAAAATCCTTTTAATCTATTTGCCAAAATTGTGGTGAAAATTTTATAATCTGAATTCAAAAGGGAAATTGGTCTATAATTTTTTATATCTGATGGGGGAGGATCTTCCTTAGGAATCAAGCTAATATTTGCCTCTCTCCATGAATGGGGAATTTCCGCTTTTCTGACTACTTCATTAAATAGATCCTTCATATGCTCTCCCATAACCTCAAACATTGTTTTGTATAGTTCTGCTGGAAGTCCATCAGTGCCAGGCGTTTTTAGATTCCCCTGTTTCTTTACTGCTTTTTCAACCTCCATTAAGGTAATTTCCTCCACTAGTATCTCTTTCGTTAAATTAGGTATCTTGGGTAAATCTGAATTCTCTATGTAATTTTTTATTGCACCTAGTGAGATCTCCTCCCTTTTATACAATTCTTTATAGAAATCCACTGCAATTTTTTCCTTTCCTTTTTTATCTTTTAAAAGATTCCCTTCCTTGTCTTCCAATTGGTCTATTCGTCTACTCTGTTTTTCTTTTTTTAATCTGAATGTCAGCCATCTTCCTAATTTATTAGCTGACTCAAAGTGTTTTTGTTTTGCTCTCATTATCTTATCTTTCAATTTATCCAATTCCAGGAGATTAAGCTGATGTCTTAGTAATATTATTTGTTCTTTTGCCCCTGCAGAGAGTGGGTTATCTTGTAATTGTTCCTCAGCCTTTATTAGTTTACTTATTAGTTCACCTCTTTCTTGTTCTTCTTTTTTATGTTTATTGGCCATATATTTGATACTAATCCCTCTTATAAAGGCTTTGGCGGTATCCCATATTGTTTGAAGTGGCATTCCCGGTGTTTTATTCTCTTGAAAAAACAGAGGTAATTTCTATTTTAAGCTTCTGTATGAACTCAGTCTCTTTTAAAATCTCTGACCTCATCATCCACCTCCTTCTATTTTTCTCCTCCTTCTTTAATGTAACTAGTACCGGATTATGATCTGCCCAGTCATTCGGCATAATTCTAATCTCTGTTACTAGAGAGTTAAATTCTTGTGTCAACCAAATCATGTCCAACCTGGACCACGATTTGTGTCTAGATGAATAATAAGTAAATTGTTCTTTGGTTGGATTATGCTCACGCCATGTATCTTTCAGTCCTAATTCCTCTCTCATTTCATTGCAAATGACTGGTAAGATTATCCTATCTTGTCCTCCTTTTCGTTTTTGATTTTCCCCTGCTTTATAATCCTGTACCCTATTAACCACTGCATTGAAATCGCCCAGAAGACATATCTGCTCATAGTCCAAATCACGGATTTCTCTTTGTATTTTCCGGAAGAACAATTTATGTTTAGTATTTGGGGCATAAATTCCTATCAGTAAGACTTTACTCTGAGATATTTCCACCTCTAACATTAATATTCGTCCCTCTTCATCTGCGAAGAGTTGTTTTGGGAAGAGATACTCCTTTACATACATTGCAACGCCTCTTTTTCTCTCTTCTGAGGCTGCTACAAACAATTTCCCTGCTTTAGGACATTTCAGTAAGTTAGCATGTGACAATTTAATGTGCGTTTCTTGTATACAGACAATATCCACATTGGTTTTCACAATTTTAGTTAATATACGTCTCCTCTTTGCCGGAACATTGAGGCCATTGACATTTACTGTCAATAGTCTCACTCCTTGGTCCATCCCTATCTATTGGTCCCTTTAATTTTAGCTGCTAAACGAGTTTCAACCCCATATTCTTCTATTTCTCCTTCCTCCCCCTTCCTCCCATTTCGTTTCCCCTTGGTATGCCTGTGTTCCTCTCTCATTTCTCCATTCCTTTCTGATCTTTCTGATTCTTTTTATCTATTTCTTTCTCTCTTTCCCCTTCAGTAGGTCAAAGAAATTTTCACAGAAATCCTGTGCATCCTGTATATTTTCAATTTTAATCTTTCGGTCTTGCCAGGTCACCAAAAGTCCTTCTGGCAATAACCATCGATAAGGCGCGTTGTGTTTTCTTAACTGCGAGGTTATAAACTGATAACTTTGTCTCTGTTCTCGCACCCTTCTAGGAATCTGCTTTAAAAATGTAATGTGTTGTCCCTTATATGTAATGTTCTGGTCCCTGGCCTTATGAAGGGTTTCATCTCTGAGCGCCTTTTTAGTAAGTCTTATGTGTATTTCTCTAGGCAGATTATGCCGTCTCGCTTAGTTGGTATAAACACGATAGGCCTCATCTATTTCGCCACAAACTTCTTCCTTCTTCTTCCCCACTACTTCAGCAATCACTTCTCCCACGATTTCCTCTAACCGTTCCTCTCTGTCCTCCGCCACATTTTGCAAACGTAAGAAGAAAGCAGACTTCTCCATCTCTAAAAAAACTACTTCCTCTTCGAGTTTCCCGACCGCTTGAGCACATCTTCTTTCACAAATGTCATGTAATCACCATTTGCAACCTGCCCGCTTCCCCATTCACTCTCCAGTCAGCAGTGAAGGTTGCAAATAGCAATCATAACGTCAAGACTCTGATGGCCACAACTTTGAGGACTGGCTGCAAGTCTCATTTAGTGCCTTCATAACTTCAAATGCTAACTGAATTAATGGATAGTAACTGATGACTACCTACACTAGCTCAACCACCTGTATATTTAGATCCATATCTTGCGAAGGGACATGATTGGATTTTAACTATGGTGAATTCTTTGTGAGAAGGGGTGATGTCGTTGTTTCTTTAAAAGAGGAGGTTTATGGAGATTAACATGAAAGCGAATTATCTGACCGCTTTCAATTGAGATTCATATCTGGGCATGAGACCGAGCATCCTGTTTCAGGCTTTAAACTCCTGTACAGTTGCTAGGTGAGAATATAAATTTACTCAAGACTGAGTAGATAAACGGCAGACAAGGAAAGGAAAGGACTGTAAATCAAAACAGTCTCTGGGAAAAAAGGTTGTCTATGTACTTTTGCTTTCAACAGGAATATACAAAGTTCAAAATCCAATCCAGAGTTCAGATAGCTGTCAGATTTATCATCTAGTTCCAAGAGTTTCAGGATTTTACGTGACCAGAATTCACAGGAATGACTCAACAGGACAGGAGATCAGATAACTGTTTCCCACAGAAGAATATGGTTCACAACTGCAACTAGCTATGTTTAATTAGGATAGTAACACCTTTTTTTAAGGAACCTTATTGAATGATTTTACTCGGCTCGCCAGGTAAAATCTTTGGACTTGCAAAGTCCGAGAGCTTAGAGGAAGAATTTCGTCTAGCTGTTTTGATAGTGCCTCGGTTTGATTCCTGACTTGGTATCTCCTGAGGCTGATATTCCACTGATTCAGTTGAAGCAGCTTTTTCAGAGTAGAGTTTGAGTCCTGACGTATGACAGTAAAACTGCATTGTGCTTGTAGATGGCCTGTTCTGGGAAACCCCCAGGCAGAGAGGGGGGAAGCCTAGAGCCCAGAATTAACCTCAAGTCCTTGAGCAAGAGGTTCAGAACTGACTTCCCCTTAAGCGCCATAGAACCTTACCTGTTATTTGGCTAAGACTGCAGTCTGGAGAGATTCCTGTATAATAGGCAGGATATAATAAAGCAGTAAACTTGAACCTTACACACAGAGGTCTAATTCTGCAGGGGCAGAATTAGAATGGTGTACTGTACACATCCTCCTTTTTAATTTCTCAGTCGCTTTCCATACAATTAATCCCGGTAGCCTTATGAATCAACTTGGTTGGAAGTAAGCAGCACAGTGTTACGCTGGTTCTCTCCTTCCTCTGGGGCAGATTCTAGATAGTACCTAAGCAGTCTCTCTACTAACCTTTACATGAAACTTGGGTGGGTTCTACTTACCTTTACTACTGGTTCACATCGTGCCCGCGCTCTTCTGTGCATGCAGATAGCTTCTGATGTCTGGGTGAGTGGGTGGAGCCTCCCGTCGGTTTTACTACCGGTTCTATAGAACCGGTCTGAACCGGGGGCAACCTACCACTGATGAAACTGCTGCTGAGGTTATCTGAAAGCATGGGATGAAATATCAATATACTGATACCTGGCTTTATCTCTTTACTCCTGACCAACCAAGGGATCATGCGGATGTTTTCTTGGCATTGGAGATGGAGGGAGGGGTTGGGGTGGGTGAGCTCACCCCTACCTATCAGACTTTCAAGGTACATCAGACTAGGAATCTAATGTCATGCAGGTACTACTATTGTAAAACTCTAGTAATAGTTTCTAGGTTCAAGCGAAGGTGCTACTTGCAGGCTACAAGACCCTCAAATAATGAATGCCAACTGGCAGGACCAAGAAAGACGATCTTTTGGTTGTTGTGTCTGCTGCTTGGAACATCATAAATTATCCTTAATCCTGTTGGCGTTTGGTAAAGCTTTGAAGAGGTAGCTATGAATCTGGGCTTGGGATCAAAATGTGTGGCAGAATCCATGAGGTGGTGATGTTTGTGGTTTTATCTCGGCTGCCAATTATGTATGTATTGTGGAGTTTATTATGTTGGATTTTAACCATTGTTAGCCTCCCAGATTCATCATGCTGAGGTGGGTGACTATATAATTTAAAATAAAATAAGGTGACAAAAGTTGTGAGTTTTGATGTTATGATTTTTGCCTTTTAATACAAATTAAAATGTGGAGCCCCCAGTAAAAGTAATATGCATATGAATAGAATAGAATAGATAAGAGTAGAATAGAATAGAATAGAATAGAATTCTTTATTGGCCAAGTGTGATTGGACACACAAGGAATTTGTCTTTGGTGCATATGCTCTCAGTGTACATAAGAATAAAATACATTCATCAAGAATAAAAAGATAAAAAACTTAATGATAGTCATAGGGTACAAATAAGCAATCAAATCATACTAGGAAACAATATAAATTGTAAGGATACGAGCAACAAAGTTACAGTTATGCAGTCATAAGTGGGAGGAGATGGGTGATAGGAACATGAGAAAATTAATAGTAGTAGTAACTATGTAACTAATAATAACTAGTAACTATGCTGGATAGATAGATACAGAGTATGGATTTGCATTAGCCACCTTAGAATAAAGAGTCCTGCTGTTTTCAATATTCAAATTCTCCTTTTTTTTGACAGCATTTTACTACTATTAAATTACAATGGTAGTCCTTTCTAGCTGATTCAAGGATACTGCTATATGTTTTCTGATAGTCCACTTTACCAAATGCAGCTGCAGTCTTCTCTCTCACTCAGCAAGTATGTGAAGTATATGATTGCTCACCAAGGGTTTGTTTTATCTTAAACTTTCAACTGCAATTTTTAAAATAAATGTCAATATTATGATAATATGATATATATTTTTTAAAATTAGATATATGATAATGAATAAAAAACTAGGCAGGCTTAATTTTCTATTCATGCTACAAGTATAGTAAATAAAACATAAATATGTTGCTTAAACAGGAGAATAAATTATACAAGAGTAACATTTATTTGGGGTTATCAGGCTTCAAAACAAGAAAACCTGGAGAAACATCAGTACAAACTTTTAAGATGTCTTTCAATTTCAGATACTATTTCTGAAACAGACTTTTCCAAGCTAACATTAATAAAGTTTTCTGGCGCACATGGAGGTTCAAGAGTATCAAACTGAGATTGGAGTAGACTTGGTGGCATGAAATGTCCCCTTCTTTTTTCTAGACGGCTGGCAATGAGCTCTATTGGCCCTGTCAGGTGAACAAACAGGATCTTTCTTGGAGTGGACTCCTTTTCTTCTTGTTGGTTGTTCAAACTCTGACAACCAGCCTCTCCATTCTCCAAAATGCACCGATACACTTTTTTGAGAGCTGAGCAAGCTAAAATGACACTTTGTCCAGATGCATGTTCTCTGTAAAAATTAGAATTTGACAATATCTATTCATTAGGGAAAAAAAAGTGTGTGTGTGTATGTTTTTTTAAAACTTTATTAGAATTGGGATAAGGCATTCAGACAATTAACATATACTCATATAATGAAGTATTTGAAATTCTCCCATGCAAAAATTCTGTGTGTAGAAAACTGCCAGAACAAAGGCATTCTGACTGATGTCTCAATTCACCAGTTTATATAATTATTTAGTTTGCAACTAAATAATTTGCAACAAACCACATAATTCCCCCACTTTTTCAACTGCTACCTTTTTGGAACCCTCTGTTATAGTCCATCCCTTACTAACCATGTTCAGCAAATCCTAATCCAACACTGAAATGTCCCAAAGCTAATAGTACACTTATTATTAATAGGTTAAATCTACTAAAAATCAATATACAGCAAACCTTAATATTGTAGAAGTTTGCTTCTGACAGTCATGGAGAAACAGTGCTACTCAAGGGATTTAGGATATCTCTTTCTCTATGGAATACCTTACTCTACTCCAAGCTATGTTCCAAAAATTGTTCATATTTAATACTTAGCATTTATGCTTATTGGTGCATTAGAGGGCTGGGAGTTTTGAAGTTGTTCACCAAGCTTGGGACACTAAAGCTAGATGAACTGCATGCTCAGCAACAGAATCCATTCAAGACCAGTTTCATGTTACAATGGGAACATTCTTTTACCTCATTAATATATCATGTAGGTGGCAAAGCCATGGTATCCTATCCTAAAAAAAAAAAAACAAGACAGACCAGTTTAAGCAAATGATGCATATTCACCTGAAATAATCTGTATCATTTGCAAAAGCAATTAGCATTAGCAATTCATAATATTTCCTGTCAGAAATCTTTAAAAAGTGTATCAGAGCCTCATTATACTAGTGAAGATTACATATCGGCTTCAACATACACCTCTTTCTTTATGGAAGCAATTTCTGCCTCCTATCTCAAATGTGACTCATATGAACGAGGCAAGTCAGTCAAAACGATTAATACATTTCTTGATATAATCCAATTAAGCTCTATCCTATTCAGATTTCATAGTTGCTTCTGAAAGCATCACATTCTCACTTAAATGGCACTAGACAATTTTTTATAACTGACAACTCTGAAGTTTGTGTTGTGGCCCGCCAGCGGCCAGCAGAGCTGGCAGCAGATTCGGACAGTGAGGAGGTTGGGGAGGAATGTGAGCCAGTCCTGGAGTCTGGGGAAGGCTCAGATGATGGCTCTGAGTCAGAGGCAGAGAGGGGGCCCAAGGCCATCTGGTAGTTCTTTGCTGCCTCCAGAATCTCCGGAGTCTGACATCAGCGAGGCAGAAAAACCTGTTCCGTGTGTGTGCATGCGCAGAGCTGCCAGGAGACAGGAATTAAGGAAACAGGGTCGACTTGGGAGTAAGGCTTGGAGATGATTGGCCCCTCCCAGAAGACATAAAAGAAAAACGAACGGGATGTGAGCTTTTGCAGGAAGCAATTAGTTCATCTGGCCGATTCAAGATTTGAAAATTCTGTTTGTGACTCTGTGCCAAGTTTGGCCTTGGTCTGCGTCTGGAAATTAGCTCTTTGGCAGTGGTCCATGTGAGACAGGTGGGTGTTGATAACCTTCCTCTGAAAGACTGTTTATCAAGCCTTGCAGATTGTAAATGAAAGTAATTTACAGCCGTATGAATTAAAGAGGTTTGCCGGGACTAAGTTTGTGCTGTTTAATTTCTAAGGAAGCCTAGGTCAGAACAGTTTACCAGTGTTGAAAGGTGGACGGAATATGCGTTCATTCACTAAAAAAAGAAAGCAGTCACCTTTTCAAGAAATCATATACTGTCAGCACTGGAACAGAAAACCCCCAACCACATATAGAAGTAATTCATAGCTCTTGATCTTTTGGGGGAGGAAGGAGCATCAGTTCAGCGGTATAAATGACATATAATACCAAGCCTTCAAAATGCTATCATTGGGGTGGGTTCTACTTACCTTTACTACTGGTTTGCAACGGGAGTGCGCGCATGCACAGAAGCTTCCTGATGACATCCGGGTCGGCGGAGCCTCCCACTGGTTTTATTACTGGTTCTTGCGAACCGGTCCGAATCGGGGGCAACCCACCACTGGCTATCACCAACATTCTGTCATAGTTTGATTTCCCCCAACAATTTCAATTCCAATTTCTATTCATTAGTTCAGCATGTATCAGGATAAATATTGTAATTGTTAAATAAAACAAGAATATAAATCTTGGTGCACTTCTATCCCAATCTGAACCATTTATATAATTACTCCATATTCCATCTAACGCTTCTTTCTTAGTCATCATACAATTTATTTAATAAGCAGATGATGTGGCCTGATACATCCATGTTTTCAAGGGCTATTGACAATTTGTTCTAGTCTATCACATGAAAAACCTTAGAATAAGAAATAAAGTAAAAATAGATGTATTTTTGGAACTCCTTCATTATCTACTCAGTGTTAGTAATGTGACCTCAGGTGCCCCTGCCTCTTCTGAAATCAAATTCTGTACCTTGCAGTTCTCATTCCATGTATTGTTGAACTCTAGTTACGAAGTCTTGATTGCTGATTTACTTGCATGCGAGACAGGTACAAATGTTTAGTAGTTGCAACATTCTCCAATAATGCCTCTTTTGATATTGAAACACAAATAATTTCCACTCCCTGCCCCCCATCTTCCATATTTTCTTGTAACTCCAAGCAGCATACTAACTGCATAGCATTAAGAATTCAAACTGCTGGTATTTTGTTAATTCTTGCAACTTTTAGAAATATTTTTTGAGTCCATTTAAGGTCATACTCCTGAATGTGTTGTTGAATAATTAAATCTATGTACTTAATGTATGATTGGGTTTTTTAAAAAATTCAGTTTACTGAGGAAGCAAAGGAATGACTAGCCAGTTATCAGTTTGCGAGAATCTTGATGAAAAAACTCCTCACAAGGTCAGCTGAATTACAATCAGATCATCTAGGACTATTTTATACAATGGTCTGCAAGAAAAGAAGGACTGACCCCCATGAAAACAAAGACATCAAATGACATAGCTTTGAAGGACAGTATTTAATTCACTGATCTGGTATCTTCAGATCATTCAGTTTTTATGCTAATGAAGTTTCTCCAACTCCATCACTAACAATTTTGTTTATTAGATGAAAGTGGCATCAAGACTATGTACAATACCTGGTCAGTTAGAGGTATTCCTTCAGCCATTTTCTTTCTGTTCTCCTCTGGATGATAGTCATCACCCTCATAGAATGTCCAACCTAGCTACATAATGATAAGATTATTCAGTTTTAGTAAAAAAAATATCTTTAGAGCAAAGGCAATTGTTATAGAAATTGTCTCAGGTACTTCTTGGCTTCCTTAACCTTGTGCCTTCCAGATACACTGGGAACAACTTCTTAATTCCCCAACCAACATGATTATCTGGTATTTGGAAATTATAAGAATTAAGACCAACTTGATTATGGGCATCTATTGGAGGGGGGCAAAAGATGGTATGTGTGATGACATAATCATGTAAATGTTGTAACTTGTGTCAGATATCCTGATGCACATACAACGTACAGTATTTACATGATTATACAATTACATTCATAATGTCAATTTGTTACTGAGATGATTTGTTGTGGCTGCTGGGACCTTGAAGCCATGGAAAATCAACCTAGGCCACAACTCTATTATCCGCAACACCAAGAGAAATATTCGTGTCACTATTTTTGCCTGTGCATGTCAAGGCAAACCAATAGCATGGATGCAAAATCAAGGCTACTTTTGAATGTATAAACAGTGTGAATGATCAAGGAGCTAGCATTCCAATACACTTAACAATTTCATATTTATATGTCATGATTGCACTGAGCTATTACAGTTATATATCTTCAAAGATACTTGTAAGAAATGGTGAATAAACAATCAACAATTATACAAATAACTACCTTATCTGCCAGAAGTGTGCCCACTGTGGATCTGTAAAATAAAACAAGTATGTATAAAAACTACATATAAAGAAGAAACATTAAGCCCAGATAAACACATCATTATAAGGTTGTTTGGTTTGATTTAGCATCTTGCATGAATCCGATCATCTAAAACTCATTTCTTAATCAGATATTTGCTTTCCATCAGTTGCCCCCAAACATCCCCCAAGTGGACAGGGATGAAGTTTTAGATTCATTTATTGGTTGAACAGCCCACTCATAAAGAATTCCTAGTTTCTAATATAGTACTTATTAGTTTCTTCAAATTATACGGATAGGAAATGAGAAGGCAATTGTTCACTATTTCAATTATTTCCAAGAACAAAAAAACAGATGTGCAGTCCTATTGAATATTTTGCTGATTCTCTCTTCCCTGCAACTATTTATGCTTCCTGAAAGATCCTCTAGAAAAACAGGGGAATTAGTATTAAAAATTATGGAATTAAGACTTTCCTATCCCCAGAAATAAAGTTCTAATGTACTTTAGAACTTAGCATGAAGTCTGAGTCAATTCTCAGTCTTATTTATTTTACAGGCCTGCTGTGGAGTTAACGCCACAGAGGATAGCATATATGATGATGGGATATAAATATAACAATTTAAAATGCAATTACAGACATAATTCTCAGTTAAAAGTTGATAATCACCAACACATGTACCTACACAGCTGACACTTTAACTCTAATTTACTTAGGGATTATTTCTGATGGTGGATTTGGCAAACAACATTTCATGTATGAAAAACTAGCACAGATATTATCTTTATTGTGTATTGTATATTGTTAAATTTGTAATCACTTTTGAAATACTAGCTGCTGCCCAAAAATCAGATGGAAAAAGCCATGATTGCATCTTTGGATCATCTGACCAGCCACCATGAAAGAGCATGCTTGATACATAAATTTCACACTTTCATGGGTATGATGGAAAATGAATAATTTTAATAAATAAATAACCAAGAACACAAAGTGTAATAGCTGCAGATGACTACAACAATCTTTAACAACTTCATCAAAGAAGAAACTCACAACTCCTTGCAAGTTTATTCTTTCAATGCTCTGCTCTATTCTTTGGTAACTGTTTGGCCGTGTCTACTCTGAAAAATTCAAAAGCAATTAGTCATATTTAAACAGTAATCCTATATAATATAGTTATTTTGATTAAACAGTACTTTAAGAGGGAATTTGAGTAAGAACGTTCGCCCATTTTTTCAATGTAATATTTTGTAATATGGTGCCAGATTAATTTTGACATGTTTGTGTGGGTGGTTAACACACCCATAGTAATTCCTTCATGCAATACAAGATTATATTTTCACATCAGAAGATTCTCCAACAATGCTATTAGGGAAAAAGAACGCTAAACAATGTAGACAAGATTTATATAAATGTGAAGTATCTCCAATCAACATAGTGTAAAATAAATTATTTCATATATTTAATATGTTTTGTCAGCCTATTTGTAAATATTTCTTGCATTTGTAACCTCAATCGGCTAAATGCTAAAATAAATAACATGCCATGTGTTTTCCTATTTTAGTAAATTATAGGAATTCTCAGTAAGAACATGTCTCAATTAAAAGTAGCTAATGACTGACTGATCAAGGACCTGAATATAAGTGCTATTTCTGTAATAACTGAGACTACATGATTTCATCTGACTCAATATTGCTGTTATTCAGATAGTCTGCTGCTTCTTCTCTTCAGGAAAACACTGTTTGTGCCACACAAGTATCAGTAGACCTTATTCAGTGAAATATTTTAGAGCCAGATATGAAGACCCAGGCCAAACATACTCTCTGCATCTGCTAGTCCTGCTGTGAATGTCTTGGTCACAATACTGTATGCTTGTTCTTCATAAGGTTAACTGCATAATTATGGCAAGGCTTTAAACAAAGAAATGAATGTCACTCTTTTTCCCACTCTTTTTTACGCTTGGGCGTAAGTACTAAAGAAAACACAAGTACAGAATGGTGCCATATATATTTCTAGAATCTGGATTCCAATAATATATTTGCAAATAAATATGTAAATATATTTTTGGTACTCATATATCTGTAACATTTCTATCCCACTTTTTATTGGTCATTTTATTGATAAATAATTCAGTGGCAAATTAACCTGTTCAGTACTTCAGATTCAAAGGCAAAAAACTGCTTCATAATGTGCAAGGATGTAAACCAAATGGACCTTTTTCTAGGTTTGTGTAGGAAAGACACTTTTGCTTTAAGGAGATGCTAATGTTCATTCTATAACCTTGTATTCTTATGGCGTCTGAATCTTCACAGTCCTATTAATTCAATGCCCGTCACATACAGGCTCATCTCCTGGCCTTGGGGGAATATGATTGGGGTGGGTGGGTGTCAGGGGTGGGTTCTACTTACCTTTACTACTGGTTCACAACAGGGCATGCACAGATGCATTTTGATGACGTTGGGTCGGTGGGCGGAGCCTCCCGCCAGTTTTACTACCGGTTCTATAGAACTGGTGTGAACCAGGGGCAACCCACCACTGGTGGTTGTCCAATGGTTAATTTAAGGTTAAGCATGCCACATACGCAATGAAACGTTTGAACATTAGACAAGTCCCCAAGCACTTAGATCTATCTCCCAGACATGGGAACACATCCTGAAGTGGGCCCAGGCAAGCAGTAAGGCGCTATTTTCCAGATCCCTACATGAAGGGGTGAAATCCAGGAGGTTCTGACAGGTTCTGGAGAACTAGTAGCGGAAATTTTGAGTAGTTTGGAGAACCAGCAAATACTACCTCTGGCTCGCCCCAAAGTGGGGTGGGAATGGAGATTTTGCAGTATCCTTCCCCTGCCACGCCCACCAAGCCAAGCCCACAGAACTGGTAGTAAAAAAAATTGGATTTCACCACTGCCTACATGTAATCATCATAGGGGATTATGGTGCATTTTGTTTTCCTGTACAATACAGGTAGTCCTCTTCTTACAACTACAACTGAGCTCAAAATTTATGTTGCTAAGTGAATTTTGCCCCATTTTACGACTTTTCTTGCCGTATTGTATTGGTTAAGTGAATCAATTGCAGTTGTTAAATGTGTAACACGGTTGTTAAGTGAATCTGGTTTCCCCATTGACTTTGCTTGTCAGAAAGTTGCAAAAGGGGATCGCATCACTCCAGGACACTGCAACCGTCATAAATGTGAGTCGGTTGTCAAGCATCCAAATGTAAATCGTGTGACCAGAGGGATGCTACAACAGTTATAAGTGTGAGAAATGGTCACAAGTCACTTTTCTCAGTGCCCTTGTAACTTTGAACGGTCACTAAGTGAATTGTTGTAAATCGAGACGAGGGCTACCTGTAATCCATCTTTTAGTACATTCAGTTAGTTATTCATCCTGAATGAGCATCAGGAGTACAAAGATGTACCGGTTTCCAGAGAACCAGGTCTTTGCATTAAGATGGAAGCTTCGCAGAAATGAAACTTGAAATGAGAAGGAATTGCCTGACTATTAATAAAATTAATAGAAGTGAATGAGCTGGAAGGGGACCCTTAGAGGTCTTCTAGTCCAGCCCCCTGCTCAAGCAGGAAACCCGATACCATTTCAGATAAGTGACTGTCTCTAGAGTAGATTCTTCTTAACAACATCCAGTGATGGAGCGGCCATGATTTCTGGAGGCAAGCCGTTCCACTGTTTAATTGTCCTCACTGTTGGGAAGTTTCCAGGTTGCTTGTTCCAAGCCTCATTTAAATCAAGACTGGATACAAAAGGGTAATCTGACCCATTTTTTGAATTTTACTAGCACTAAAACAGGGGTCCCCAAACTTGGCAGCTTTAAGGCTTGTGGACTTCAACTCCCAGAATTCTCCAGCCAGCAAAGCTGGCTGGAGAATTCTGGGAGTTGAAGTCCACAAGCCTTAAAGCTGCCAAGTTTGAAGACCTCTGCACTTAAGACATCAAAAATGACTTGAAACGCCCCTCGCCGAAATGCGGTGCGTGTTTTTTTTTTCATTTCTTCGTCTGTGCATATCTGTGGGTGTGCTGCTCCTTTTTACCAAAGACTCAGTAGCGCCCTCTTCTGCCCTCCCACCTTTGCCGCCCGAAGATATATGGGGAAGTTCGATTTCCCCGCCCAAAAAAAGCCTCCCACGCTGCTTTTCCCACGCAGGTCAGCGACGACCACTCTCCCTGCCTCCCCTCACCGCCCCCAGCTCCTTCACCAGGGAGAAGGAGGCAAGCCAGAGAAGCTTCTGCCCCGGCTCCCCTCAACAGGAGCCGGCAAGGCTCCCCGCAGCCTCAGCGACAGAAAACAAACTTCCCTCCCTTGCAGGCGACAAGGCAGCGCGGCCTTTTCTGTATTTCCGGCCGCGCATTACTCTTCACACACACCCCACCCCACCCCAATCCCAGAAGTTGCGCTTACTTCCCGGAGCCGCTCACTCCCATGACCACCACTAAGACCATCGCGGGACGCCCGGGCAGCAAGCAGGTGGTTGGTGTCTTCGGCTCACCTTCCTCGACGCCCTCCTTTCGCCCTGCCTCTTCCCTTCCCTTCTCCGCCTCTTGCTCGGAGGTGCCACTCCTGAGTGTTTAAACCCGGATCTGCCTTTTTTTCCCACGCCTGTCCGGGTTTCTAGATTTATTTATTTTTTAAATTTTTAAATGTAATGGAATTTAAGGTATATATGTGTGTGTGTGTGTGTGTACAGTTAATATTTCAATTAATTATTAATTGATTAATATTTTATTTATTAATATTTGATTAATAATAAATTGATTGAATAATTAATTAATTATTCAATTAATATTACAGTTAATAATAATAGAGCCATCCCAGACTACCAGCACCAGATTTGAAATAGTAACGGCAGTTACAGCAAAAGACCCTTCACATAAGCCTGATGATGGCAGATGAGATTCTGTCGAAACGTCGCTTCTACCCTTTTAGGGATATGTTCACAATTACACGGGAAGAAACCCGAAATATTAACTGTACACACATATATACCCGTAAAAACTTACATACATACATACATACATACATACATACATACATACATATATATATATTACATTACGTACTGTGTATTAAATTGATCCAAGTGTGTTGTCGTTGAGTCGCTAAGTCGGCTCCAACTCTTTGCAACCCCGTGGCCCATATAATCATAATCATAATAATCATGTTTATTTGTCAAGCATATATAATTACATATTTAATACATTCATTTTTGCTTCCATGGAAGAGGTAAGAGGCACAAAATGAACATATAAACTGAAGACTCGAAAACAATCTGTCCTAACTTGATACCCTCCAGATGTATGAACTAAAAATCTTTTTCAACCTAAACAGCACAACTATAATAGTTAGGGTTTATGGGAATCATAATTCATGGAGAGGGGTTTTGCTAAACTGTTTGGTCTTGAGGGCAGATTCAATACATGAAAGGGAGAACTTTATGGAAAGATACTTAATCATAATCATAAGTTTATTTGTCAAGCATGTATAAGATAACAGGTAAAAATATAAACATACATGAAAAGAGTAAGTAAAAAGGAATATTAGGACAGGGACGGTAGACACGCTGGTGCGCTTATGCACGCCCCTTACAGACCTCTTAGGAATGGGGTGAGGTAGACATTTTAAGGTTAAAGTTTTAGGGGTTTGGGGAAGAAACTACAGTCAGGTAGTGCATTCCAGGCATTGACCACTCTGTTACTGAAGTCATATTTTCTGCAATCAACTTTATATATATATAGCACACAGGACCCCCTTGTCCTCCGCTTGTCTCCCAAAATTTGTCAAAATCCACAATCCCTGCCTCGATGACACGAACTACAGGTAGTCCTCAACTTACAACCACAATTGAGCCCCCAAATTTATGTTGCTAAGTGAGAAATTAGTTAAGTGAGTTTTTACCCCATTTTGTGCCTTTTCTTGACAACAGTTGCTGAAGTAAATTGCTACAGTTGTTAAATTAGTTACAGGGTTGTTAAGTGAATCTGGCTTGCCCATTGACTTTGCTTGTCAGGTCACAAAAGGGGATCATGTGACACCGGGACACTGTTCTCTTTATATTACCTCACATACATCAGATTCACTTTTAACAGAAAGTAAATATCAGTGCAAATTTCAGGACAAGTGAATTCAGTTAATAATCTGAAGGAATTAAATACTCTGTTTTTAAATATGCTTATAAGTGTACATGGATTTAACACAAATCTTTGAATGAAATCATTTGGGTCCCGTCCCCACCCCACCCAATTTTTAAGGCCACCCAAATCGCAAATCAACTCAAGGCAGTATATAAGGAGATTAAAACAGTAAAAATCCTAAAAGATAAAATCATCACACTTGGAAAACCAGAAACTTCAAATGCATCATAAATTAATTGATTCACAAATAACTCAGTCCTTGCCAGAAGTGTTTTAAGGCATTCTGGAATGATAGCAGGGGTGAGGTCCTACAGCCTCAAGGGGAATGTGATCCAGGAACTATGTTGAATCCAAGTTAACTTTATATAATTTTAGTGTGTAAATGGTGCATCCCAACACATTTCTGTTTTAAAGACAACTGTGTTAATTGGTTTATTGTCAGACTTACTGGATATAGAATAGAATAACAGAGTGGAAGGGACCTTGGAGGTCTTCTAGTCCAATTCCCTGCTTAGATAGGAAACCATACCCCTTCAGACAAATGGTTATCCAACATCTTAAAAACTTCCAGTGCTGGAGCATTCACAACTTCTGGAGGCAAGTTGTTCCACTGATTAATTGTTCTGTCAGGAAATTTCTCCTTAGTTCTAAGTTGCTTCTCTCCTTAATTAGTTTCCATCCATTGCTTCTTCTATAACATGTATATAGTGTATAAGATGTGTGTTTTTGGGTCAGTGGTGACTCCTGGTAATTGCCTGAACTTGGCAAGATTTCAGAAATACTTTGCCATTACCTCCTTCCTAGGGCTGAGAGTGACTGACCCAAAGTCACCCAGCTAGCTTTGTGCCTAAGACAGGACTATAAAAAAAAAAAGGAACATTCCTTTCTAGTACTGATGATGTGATGTAGGTTGGGTAATGAAATGTCTTCAAGAAAACAATCAAGCTCAGAGAGCATCAAGGATCCCACAGTTCAACCCTGGGGTACAAATATTCTCTTCTACCAATACGGACCCAGTTTCTACTCAGTACTTAACTACTATACCAAACTGGCTCTTTGTAACGAGAGTACGGCCCCTGAATTATGTTAACCTTTTAAAAACTCATCCAGGACATCATGTCGAATGATCTGCCAAGCTGTTTCATTACTAAGTGGTATATACTGGGCTGGAGCACTGTTGCTTTTTTTTTTTTTGTTTATTTAAGGCCACAGCCAGCTCTTATAGCTCGCAAATAAGTATCCAAGATAATTAAAATATGAACGCAAAGCCTTGTCCAGAGAGGTAAAAAAGCCTCATTTTTTTTTTAAAGGAAGGGGATTAAAAACTGAGAATTAAAGGCGTATGGGGCTTAGAGCATGTATATACTGTAAAGGAGTGTTCACTGACTGTCATTTGATTCTCCCCTCCCATGCAATGCAACTCTGAACAAATAAAAAGAATTCTTTTAAAATGAGCTTGACTCATTTTGAGTTCTGTTCCAATGGACATGTCCAACTGTTTAGATTACTGCAATACATTCTAATCTTGAAGACAAGACAGAAGCTACTTCTCATCCAGACTCTGGCAGCAGAAGAAGTTATGGGCACACAACGGTACACTGTGACACTATCGTGTGAAAACTCCACTGGTTGCCAGTTTCTGGGGCAATTCAAGTTGTTAAGTTTAAAGCCATTGATGTTATTTGCAGAACTGAGAGATTCAATCAAGAAATAAGGAGAAATTTTCTGATAGAACAATGAACCAATGGAACAGCTTCCCTTCAGATATTGTAGATGCTTCATCACTGGAAGCTTTCAAGAAGAGACTGGACAGCCACTTGTCATATAGGGTTTCCTGCTTGAGCAGAGGGTTGGGCTAGATGACCTACAAGGTCCCTTCCAACTCTGTTATTCTGTTACTATTCTGTTACTGACCCAAATGACCCAACAGAATAAGCATACTCCCGTTTCCTTACTGAAGAAATGTTTCTTTGCGAGAGTCCCATAATATGACACATCACTAACTCCTGCCCTCTGAGACTCCATTTCCTCAGAAGTTTGCATAGTTCAGGAATGCTATCAGAACCTGGCTTTTTCAGCAAGTCCTGCACTTAGTGGTTTTGAATGCTATATGTGTTTAATCTTTTCCCTGGGTAGTTGTCTGCCACGTGGTTCTTCTTTTAAAGTTATATCATTTTTTAAAAACTTGCTCTGAATGCCGTATTTCTCACTGATTAAATAGCCATACATGGCATTTTAAAGAAAATAAATACTATGTCATTTGGAACAGTGGTGGAATGCAATTTTTTTACTACCGGTTCTGTGGGCGTGGCTTGGGCATGGTGTGGCTTGGTGGGTGTGGCTTGGGCGTGGCAGGGGAAGGATACTGCAAAATCTCCATTCCCACCCCACTCTGGGGCCAGCCAGAGGTGGTATTTGCCAGTTCTCCAAACTACTCAAAATTTCCGCTAACGGTTCTCCAGAACCTGTCGGAACCTGCTGAATTTCACCCCTGATTTGGAAGATTTCTCTCTTTGAGGGACATGTGGTTTAGAAATGGGACATCTGCTTGACAAATGGCAATCAAATCCAAACAAACAAACAAACAATAAATAAACAATATAAACAAATAAACAAATAATACAGTTAGAAGGGGAGATTTAGTCCAAATCCCTGCTTACCACAGAGATTTTACAAAAATGTACTTTCTCCAGGATAAATTATTGAAGATTTGATTAGAATTACAACCATGTGTTGGAGTTGATTAAAAAAATTCAAACTGATCTTGATTTAGACATGATATACCATTGACTTTGTTAGGCAGTTAAGTTCTATCCTTGTATCCTTTCGAAGTAAAAATGTACATATCAGTAAATAACATGCTATTTATCCCAGTGAAAGGTACACTATCTTAGTAAGGTAAAATTGAGACAGAACTGAATATTATGTACATATCTTCACAGTGATTAAATTAAAGATAGTAACTCTAATTTAAAAAATATATTCCATAGGTAAATAATATGCATAAGATAAATATCTAAATATACCATAAGAAGTAGTTCTCAGAACTAACCTGTTATTTGCATTCACTTGGTTCATATACTTTCAGAATAGCATACTAATTTAGATTAGATCAGTGAATCATTTTCAGCCACACCTCTTCATGACCTTTTTACACTAATGTTAGATTGGTGTTTGTATTTTCCCATCACATTATCATACAGGGAAGCTATATAAAGGAGATACTGTTTTGTTCTGGCATCTACGGAGACATAAATACTATAAATAAATAAATAAATACAGTATTTCATTTGGAAGTTGCAATCCATTTGACTGGGGCTGCCTGGCCTGTGACCCCAATCAAATCAATTTAAGACAGAATTCCTCCTCCACTTTGTATGTTCCTTATTTATT